GTCACGTGCCAACAGGTGTCAACACAACACACTTTCATATTTCATTTTTGACCAAATTAGCTATTTAAATCTCTAGCTGTGACTTCCTGTTCCCTTATAGATACAGAACACACTGTATAAACCTGCAAATCTTTCAAATGCAATATTGGAAAAGATGTATGATCACCTTATGTGGATATATTGTTCACTCAATGACTATCTCTTCCAATTTAAGGAAGCTTTTGGTTGAGTGACACTGAGTAAAGCCAGCTGATTTGCAATTCATCAGGAGGCCAAGCTCAATGAAATCATTAAGTCATACTGATGCAAATACTGGAGTGAAAATGTGACATTAAAGGGTGTGTGTGTGTGTGTGTGTGTGTGTGTGTGTGTGTGTGTGTGTGTGTGTGTGTGTGTGTGTGCGTGTGTGTGTGTGTGTGTGTGCGTGTGCGTGTGCGTGTGTGTGTGTGTGTGTAGAGAACAGAGAGGGACACCAGGCCGGTGTGGGAGAAAGAGAAAGAGCAAGTGGAGAACACTTTACAGCGACAGAGAAGAGAGATGCTGATGGATGAACAGTGGCTGGAGCAGGAAGAGAGACAGCTGGTGAGGAATAACACACACACACACACACACACACACACACACACACACACACACACACACACACACACACACACACGCACACACAGGAAGCAGCACTTCCTTGAGTGTGACGAAACTATGAAAGAAACAGAGTGACGTTTCCTAAAAGCAGAAGATCTTCGGCGAGCACATGACACGTGCAGCAGAATTAACACTTAACCCCCGTTATGCTAAACGCTGCGTTCACTGACCTCTGCTTCTGGTTCTCTGCAGGATCCTGTCGTACGGGCGGATTCACACATCAAGGTACTTTATGGTGTCTTTACTTCTTCTTACTTAAGAGGCAAACAAAATGTGTAGTTAACACGTTGTGACCATTAGCTGCAGAGGCATATCTGTTTCTCACACACACAAGTGTCGTTTACAAAGCTTTCTTCCTCTTTTGTCAGTATAAGCCTATACAAAAGAAAACCTCTTAGCATCTCGAAAATATGAAAATAGACAATCTAAACCTGACCTCTGACCTAAAACTCATCAATTCACATCCTTTCTTTCATGCTTTTATTGCAGCCTCCTGAAAAAAGACAAGAAAATGGTGAGTCTAGTGTCTCAAACAAGTGTTTTAAGATAAAACATGTGTTATGTTCACCATGCATTGTATAAAGAAGATGCAACATGTTATTGATTCCACATTAAGAGTAATTTCATACACATGCATGGTTATGTATGTCATCAAAATGCGTTGATATTCAGGTTTTTTGTCTCCATCAGTTCCTCCAGAGAAGCCACCAATGCCTCCCACAGTCATGCAGGTAAAAAATATCCCTTTTATTATAAATTTGATTACTTTCTTATGAAAACGACCAAACACTGTAAAAACGACTAGAACATGCGCTTTGAGGGGTTGTAAGGACTGGATAAAGTGTTATATAATTACAGTTCATTTACCTTTTGTTGTAGGCGCGGCCGACAGCTGAGCTGGATCGGTCAGGTGACCAGGTGTACACGGGCGTCATGGCGATGGTGAAGCAGGTGGTGCAGCTGAAGAATGACGTCAACACGCTGTCGGCCTCCGAGTACCCCAACGCTGTCAAAGTAGGACATCATTTCACATTGAATTTAACAAAACTGTTCTCCTAGAAGCTGTGAAATTCGTTTTTGGACTGTCCTTATCTTCTGACATACTCTTAAGTCCTCTATTAGACACAATAGTTTACATTAACGCACACCATGTGAGCCATTCCTCCTTAAAAATACTGTAAACCTTAAGATAAGATAAGATAAAAGTACTTTATTGATCCCAAGTTGGGAAATGTTTGTGTTGCATAAAAAGACATGGCATAAAAATTAAAACAAATAAACATTTCAAAATGTCTCAATAGCAATAAAATAGCATAAAAAACAAATGGACGTTCCTCTGTATATTTTGCACATTTCTGCACAATTCTACCTCTTAAAACAGCACATCTATGTAGTACTGCACATATTTCTTAGAGTAACTTGTCATATTCTTCTCTGCTCCTTTTAGCAATTCCTCTTACTGTGTTTATGTATGCACCAAATCCCTTGTATGTGTTACCCCACCTGGCAATACTCCTGATTGTGATCAGACAGACAGGTAACATACACAATGTCTCTCCCTCTCTAACCTCCAGGCGGTGGGCATCACTCTGCGCGGTCTGATCCAGAGCGTGGATGAGATCCTGCCCTCGCTGCACTGCTCCGTCACCACAGAGGTAAACAACTGCACCTCTTATTTTAAACAATCATTGTCACGTAAATATAGTCATTTGATCATGATTTAGAGTTCATTTGAGTAGCTCAAGACACACCCAATTTATTTGGCTTTGAATTAAATGTTCTGCAACCATATCATTTATCAAATCAAATCAAATCAAGTTTTATTTATATAGCACATTTTTAAAACGATTTTTGGTCGAGCCAAAGTGCTGTACATATAATAATTACCTTACAGTAAGGACACTTATTGTGCAACACGGCCAGTACTTGTCCTACTAAAAGACATCAAAATACCGTTTATGTTTGAATTTGATCCTAATAGAATTAATAAAACTGAGCATTTCTTGAAGATGATCAAATCAAACTACTCCACATTTTCTGCAACCGTATAATGTGTTAAAATGCTAATTAAAACCCACCTAGATTACCCAAATGAAACTGTTTCATGTGCTCTGCTCAGATCGAGGGCACGAAGAAGCTGCTGAACAAGGACCTGGGGGATCTGATCAGTAAGATGCGTCTGGCTCAGCAGAACAGCGTCACCTCTCTGAAGGAAGAGTGTCAGCGCCAGATGTTGACCGCTGCTCACACTCTGGCTCTGGACTCCAAAAACCTTCTGGACGCCGTGGACCAGGCGAGAGTCAGAGCCAACCTGGCCAGGCCAAGACCCGCCTCTCCAGAAGCTGAGGATTCTGGGGAATGAAGTTCCCTGTTGAGTGAACAGACTGGATTTAAAACAAGGACAGGATGAATCCGGACTGCTCTGCTCCTGTGAGAGTGTGCAGCACTTCGGAAAGACGTCATAATATATATTTGTATTTTCTCCAAATATAATTTAATAAAACAGAGCGTTTCTTCAACATGAGCGAATCAAACTACCACAATGTATACAAGAGTTTTATTTCTACAAAACAAGTATCATTTTTATGTCTTTTTTTGGTAAGAAATACCAACTTTCCTCTCAGGCTTTTTGCACAATAACATTCTTCAATTTGTTTTAATTCTTCGTGTGATTAGACAAGCATTGCTTAACCAAATGCAAGCACCGTAGACAAGAAGGAACAAAATCATAGGAAGATTACTGAACTACAATACTTTACATTTCATATCCTGCCTGAACAGATACAATGTCCTACAATACAGTAGGACCTTTTGTTCTGCCTTTATCTGACTACGGTGGATCGAAGGTTCTGTTTTGGGAGACAAGCGTAAGAGATAAACCAAAAACAAAAGCCAACAAGAGGCAACAAGAACTTACGGCTCCTGCCATCATCTGACTGGATCTTCAAATTCTCTCTCTGGTGTTAAGATCCCCTTAATCAAATTACTAAAGAAATATCAAAGAAGTGAAAGCAGGTTTGAACAGGTTGTGAAGTAGAACAAAATGCAAATTACCGAGATGCTGATACAGGGCTGTATAGTGTAAAGGGAGCAGAAACATTGCAGAGTCACTGTCTCGTCTGTTACACGACATTATAGTTGCACTAGTAGTGCCAGAAATACTTTCTAAATACAATCATTTAAGGACAAAAACACCCAAAATGTTGCTGTATGCGTGACATCTCCACAGCATTACATAAGATATATCTTTAGTGCATGTTTCTGGTCACACACACACACACACACACACACACACACACACACACACACACACACACACACACACACACACACTGAAGCTGAATGCAGGTTCCTCCTTGATAGTCCTGTTACGGTGCGATGCATTTGATGATTAAAACCCCTTGAAGAACATATCTAGGATTAAAAGACTAATGTCACAGCAGGATTTAGAAAAGCTTGTCCATGCTTTTATCTTCAGTAGACTCGACTGCTGTAATGGTGTCTTCACAGGTCTCACTAAAACATCAGAAAGCTGCAGCTGATTCAGAACGCTGCTGCTCGAGTCCTTACCAACACTAAGAGAGTGGATCACATCAGTCCAGCTCTGAAGTCTTTACACTGGCTTCCTGTCTACCAAAGAATTGATTTTAAAATACTATTGCTGGTTTTTAAAGCACTAAGTGGTTCAGGACCAAATGATATTAACGATCTCCTGCAAAAGTATGAACCATCCAGGAGTCTCAGGTCTTCTGGGACGGGTCTGCTCTCTGCTACAAGAGTCAGAACTAAACATGGAGAAGCAGCATTTAGTTTGTATGCCCCGACTATCTGGAACAAACTGCCCGAACCCTGCAGGTCCGCTGCAACTGTTAATACTTTTACATCGAGATTAAAAACGTATCTTTTTGACGCTGCATTTGGATGAGATGTTCAAACTCAAACTGCAGTTTGGCTTTTTATCCATGTATTTTATACCTGGTGTGTTGATTTTATTGTCTTTGCCTTTTTATAATGTGTTTCCACTGTATTTATTCTTAAATGTCTTTTATTTTATTTTGTAAAGCACTTTGGGTTGCCGTGTGCTGTATAAATAAACTTGCCTTGCCTTTCTGTTACCAATCAGTGTCTTAAAATGTCTAAAACACATGCATTTTAAGTCCATGGTCTTTTCAAATAAAAAGCACCACTGATAGTTAATTTAAGCTCTTTGAAAAGGAGCAAAAAGTAGCAAAATGAAACCCAATCTGTCCTTTGGGTCTGCAGAAACAAATCAAATCAAAATCAAAGTGCTGTACATGTAATAAAAACATGTAAGAACAAGCCTCAGGCTCCGCTCATTTGCACCACCCCTTTGTGTC